GAATACTATAAATGATAATGATACTCAGCTTGGACACTTAAAGGAAATATACTTTACATTTCCTACTATGGATAGTTCTACAACTCTTTGAATAGAAATCAATAATAACAATTTAAAAAAAAATCAAATATTTGCTTTGAATCAACAAATAGTTGACTGAAAAGAGTCAATGTTTCAAAAATTATTGTGTAGAATCTATAAAATTTCACCTGACTTTAAACCTTTCCTACCTTTTGCTACAATACTATTGCACATTCATCTGTTTTATATTGCATGAATTTCAATCTTTATTTTTCATTTTGCTTTCAACAAGAGAGATAAAATTTAACAAACTCTGGGAGGATAATCACAAATGAGGTGAGGGGGACTGCCACTTTCTACTCACATAAATTTGGATGGTTGTAAAATACATATTAATTAAATAATTAAAATTTAAAATAAAATTTAAAAAGTACACTCTACCAATATTTAGAAAAATATCTTAGCTCCCTCATAAAGATAAACATTATATTTTGTTATCTGTTCTTTCTTAAATCTCTTTTGTTCTCCCTTCTTCCAGGTTCTAAGAGAATTGTGGATTTCACTCTTATAGGTATTACCTTGTGAAGTCAAATCATTTCTAATCAATTGTCATGTCCATTTGATTCTTCATAATTAATATTCTACTTCTATTGAATGCTTACTTGATATAGTAGAATGTGTTTGGGGTTTCATATACCATCATATATGGAAAACAGTCTCTGTCCTTAAGAGACTTGCCATTAAGCTATGGATATCTGCAAAATAAGCACACATGTATGCATGAACACATGTACATGCACGTGTGTGCACACACTCATACATACACACAAAGTGTTAGCTCCAAATAATGGTATAGGGAGCAAGTTCTTTTGAGGTATGGAGCAGAGTGCATGTCCTGACAGCAAAAGGACTTGGGAAACCCTCCAGGAAAAATAGGACTAGTCCTATAAGGAAAAGAGGAATTTAATTAAGTGAAAGCAGAGGAGAAGCTGAAAAAGGAAGAACAGAAAGGCATATATATAGTCTGAGGCAAAATAAATGCACTAGTCTGGCAAAAGCCTTCATTCAGGGTACTGTGAAAGTAAAAATTAGAGTGGAAGGAAAGGGTTAAAATATGGAATATGAGTGATAATTTGGCATTACTTGTTCACAAACAATTTATAAGAAGCACTATACCATATCTATTCTACACTTTCTACTGCTCTAAAACGTCTCTACCAACCTCAGGTACCCATATTCTACCATGTAGAGTTTTACTATCATGGAGTTGAGTAAAAAGATTAAACAAAAAAAAAGTTTCAACGTTTCTCCCTGAATCTAAGAATACTTAGGTTCTTAGATTCCTCAAATAAAATTCAGAATTCTTCATTTTCCCTTTTGAACCTGTCTTTTTGTGTCTTCTATTTCTCTTTGACTTTTAAAGTGGCTATAATTTCCCCTAATTTTCTTCTTTGTTCCCAGCATTCAATCAGTTGCCTTGTTCTGGTTTTTCACAGCACTTCTTGTGGGTATTCCTTGCTCTCTACTCCCAGGTCTGTACTTAAGTCAGACATTACATACCAAGAATTAATCTCTGTTTGCAGTCTCTCCCAATTCCAGAATATCCTACCACTCATGAGTTTCATTAAGTCATAGTTCATTCAGTATACTTTCAGATTACTCTTCCTAAAACAAAGCTCTGACGTGTCAAACTCAAGCTTATAACATTAATAAGCTCCATATCAACTGAAATAAACACCATAGCTTGATATATATTAAAAGTCACTCAACAGTCTGGTCCTACTTCATATATTCTAAATTCTATTTTCCTTTATATATTCTAAATTTCTGTCAAGCCCAGTATTCAATGTTTTCTAGGCACATATCATGAGGTTCCTGATTCTGGGTTGGTAATATTCTATTTGAATTGTTCATTGCTTACTACTTCAGATAACATTTTCTTATCTCAAGAATACTTTATCTCACTAACTCTGAGTAATATGCTCCCTATAATAAATACCTGTGTTATACTGTTTCACTATTATGGATCTGCTTACTTCATGAATTATAAGAGGAGATAAGAGAAAAAGAAAAACTGTCAAGGAAAATAACCACAAATTATAGAGTGCCTTAAAAAAAGTATTAACATGCAAAATACAGAAAAAAGATTTTATATTGTTTATAGTCTCATTTATACTGACAATGAGGTATTACAAGAGGTAGTAAAAATCAGTACCTACATATGCAACACTATGAGAGACACAAGGAGCAATTATTATGTTCCAGGCACTCATTTTATTTGTAAGAATCTTATGATATTACTTACCTCATTTTTAGCTGAGAAAACTGAAGAAATAACTGCTAACTGCCCAATCCCATTTGGCTATTAAGTGCTGAATCAGGATTTGGAACTCTGACAATCTGGCACCAGAGCCCATATACTGATACCATTAGGCCGTCCTATCTCTTGTTTACAGTTGCATCAGCATAAAAACTCCTCTCCAAAACAAGTACCATGATTTCATTTCAGGATGCATAGGTGTGCTACTTAAATGTCTTATAAAAATCCTTTCACTTTTGTTTAATTTCCAAAGTACTTTGAAATACATTCAATTATATGCAAGTAAATTTTGATTGAGAGAATTAGATTAATATTCCTTTTGCCTCATAAAATATACAAAATGGCTTAAGATTATTTAAGTACAAGCATCTTAAGACTCTATAAAGGTAAAGATACAGAATCCTGAAGTGACATTCCATCAATATTTGACATCTAATAAACAAAAAGTTAATGATAGCAGCAGAAACAGATACAAGAATGATTATTGACTCAATAAGCAAGATAATTAAACAACTGATTATAATTTATATATTTTAGAAAAAGAAAAAATTTGGGTTCCCTCTAGTTTTTATATTTTCTGAAATCTGTTTCCAACAAGCTGAGGAAAGCTTTCCTTTTATCTATTGAAAATAAATGTCGGCCTTGGTCACATGCTAATTCATATAAGCATAATATGTGTACTATATTAAATATGAACATTTTAATTTTATAAACTCATAGCAGCAGCACATCAGATATTAAATATATAATTTTTAGATATTGTTTTACACATACTATTATTTTTCTGATATATTTCATAGTTAAACTTTAATTAAATTAATAATAAAATGAAAAATCTGAAATAGCAATTGCCAGTTGAAAAATACTATTAACCTAATAATGTCATAATTTAGCCTAATTATTATTTCACATTCTAAAATATATTGTTTAATAAACTATTTTATTAAATCATTAATTTTTATTTTAATATTCTTAGCACTGGACAATGACATTTAAAAAATAATTCTTTACATATCCTCTATACATGGTTTATAACAACCTATATACTGCATTATGAGCACAGGGGGTTGCACCAACCGCTTAAACACTTTTATTTCTCAGAAATAGGTCTTTTTATAAAAAGGGAAAACAGGATCTAACTCTTGTTTGCTCTTTAAAGTTTTATTGTTTTAGCATTTTATACAGGGAGTGAGCATTAGCATACTCAGGAGAACTGCTGAAAGTAAAAGGCCTCAAGCTACCCACTGCATGGCTGATAGGATAAAGCGGGGATATAAAAACTTTTGTCTGATTGCTCACTTTCCTTGTTTTAGAGTACTGCTACTCTCAAGAGCATATATTCATGTTCTTTCTACTTAGAGTTTTATTACTTCTTTTGTATTATTTAATACATCTAAAGACACTTCCAAAAGACAAATTTTTCCAATTCGAAGAAGTAATGGTTTGGAACCTGATAAAACACATTAATGTTCACAGTGTGTTTTCTGCAAAGGTGATAGAGTAAAAGTGCTATAAAGCAATTAGGCATATGATCTTAAAGACATTAATATGTCAAATAGAATAAAATATTTAAAAAGTCAACAAAAATAATATCTTGTGAAAGGTCAAATGAAAATTGGCACATATAAAGGTCTTATTTCTCTTTCAGATCTTTGACCAGATATTTAATGGGAAAATAGAGAAAGAAAATATAAAAATGAAGGAAAGGACTAATCTTACCTCAATAACTTGAAATTAGAAGTATATGATGCCTAACTCTAGGAGGTATGGACATAAGTTACAACTCCTCCTAACAGCTGAATGGTGTATACACTTCATCACTCAGATTCTAATTTTTTCCTTCTGAATTCTAAGTTCTACTAGGGTCAATACTTTTTAGTAAACAAGAAACTGATATGCTTGACACTACTGAATAAGGCCAAGCATTTTTTAAAGTGTCATACACATTTCTGAAATCCACAATACATCAATTTTTAATACTTCTACTCTCTCAGCTCCATTAAAAAGATGGTAGGGGAAAGATTTTAGAGTAATTAATGATATAGTTAGCTGCTAAATATTAATAGGAATCGTAGTCTTGCATAAAATATAACATATAAACCTTGCCAATACAGACGCACCAGTAATTAAAGTTGAATATGTAATTACACTGATTTATCAGATAGGCAAAAAGTTACACTTTACTAGCTTCTATGTAAACTGTGGGTAACAGTTAAACTTTGCATTTTACGGTTTATAAAAATGGGCAATATCTTGACTACAGTTCATAAATGGTTTAGAGACCTATAATAGTAGTAAAAATTACAACAACTTATCCCATCATGAATATTCCTGTTGCACCATACAAACCAAACTGTGATAATGACCCATAAGATGTAGATTCATCTTAGCTGCTGCTTTATGCCCTAGAGAATATTAGTAGTACTAAGAATTTGTAGAGGACTGCTAGGACAATAATTTTAGGGCATTTGAGAAAATCTAAAAGGTGTATTAAAATTAATTTTGATACACTTTTTCATATATGAACATGGTACAGTTTAACTCCAATTAAACTTGCATTTTTAACTTATATAACATTAAAAACTTCAGAAGAATACTAAATTTTAGAAGCATGTGAACACAGGTTCTTCCCTTTAGGGAGTCTGTTAACCACACTTAC